GCACCCCCACCCCTCCCCAGCGGAGTTGAGGGAGCCTCAGGTGCTGGCGTCTGAGTGAGGAGCACCCCCACCCCTCCCCAGCGGAGTTGAGGGAGACTCGGGTGCTGGCCTCTGAGTGAGGAGCACCGGTGCAGGGCTGGGAGTTCCCCAGTGGCATAGGAACTGGCAGTGAGCTGAGTGTTAGGCTCTGCTTGGGCAGCAGCTCTGCAGCCTGAGCAGTGAGATCGTTGGTCCCCACTGGTTGTGAGATCATTCTCTGTGGCCCACCTGGCCCCTGTCTGAGAAGCCCTGAGTGTTGTGTCATCGCATGGCCCATGTCAGACCTGGGAGCTGGGCAGGCTGAACATGGGCTGGGGAATCTGGTGTTCACCTCTCCACTGGCATCTGCAATGAGGTTTCTGAGCATCCTGGGAAGGGTTAAGTTACTGGAGTCCTGACCCACCCCCAAGCCCAGCAGGGTACCTGCCCACCCACAGGGCACAAGGGACAGAGGGTGAGATGTGGACTCTCTTCTGAGGCTGTGAACAGGGCGACCTCCTGGACGTCAGCCAGAAGAAGACTGCTTGGACCACTCTCCATAGCGCTGAGGGGGCGACCAGGGGAGGGGACACCCCCCAGGAGACCCAGCCTGGCCCTTGGGCTCTTCCTCAAGGGATGGTGTAGCTGCAGCCCCAGGGCTCCCCCAACCCCCACAGTGTGCTCATGTCCTGCTGGCCTGAGCCATGGTCACGATTCCAAAATGCTTCCACACAACTCGAGTGGTGGCCATGCACGTACAGCTGACCCTTGAACAACGAGTCTGCAGAGGGTGTGTCTCTGTCCCAGCCTTGAGTCTCAGGAGGGTGTGGCAGGGGCCCCAGATCTGCCAGGTCCAAGATGGAGCAGGTACTGTCCCTATGGCATGGCTGGCCCAGAGCCCTGAGAGCAGGTACGAGTGGGGAACCAAGGTGCAGGGTGAGTCACCGGCCAGGAGGCCCTGCTCTAGGGTCCCAGCTGAGGAAGGCCACAGGGACTCGTACCTCCCCGTTTATAGGCCAGGCATGTCCTCCGTGGCACCCTCACCCAGAGCATGAGCTCCACCTCTGCCCCTCCTGTCCTAAGGGGCACCTCTCCTTTTTTTTTCTTGTTGTCCAGGCTGGAGTGCAATGGCGCAGTCTTGGCTCACTGCAACCTTCGCCTCCTGGGTCCAAGTGATTCTCCTGCCTCAGCCTCCCTAGTAACTGGGATTACAGGTATGCACCACCACACCTGGCTAATTTTGTATTTTTAGTAGAGACGGGGTTTCGCCATGTTGGTCAGGCTGGTCTCGAACTCCTGACCTCAGGTGATCTGCCCACCTCGGTCTCCCAAAGTGCTGGGATTACAAGTGTGAGCCATTGTGCCTGGCCTCTCTTACATTAAGAGACAGGGTCTCAGTCTGTTGCCCAGGCTGGAGTGCAGTGGCACAACCATAGCTCACTGTAGCCTTGACCTCCTGGGCTCAGGCCGTCCTCCCACCTCAGCCTCCTGAGTAGCTGGTCCACCACTCCTGGCTAATGAAAACTTTGTTTTGGTAGAGACAGGATCTTGCAATGTTGCCCAGGCTGGTCTTGAACTCCTAGGTTCAAGCGATCCTCCACCCTGGCCTCCCACCCCCTCCTCTCTGACAGCCTCCCAATGTCAAGGAAGCATGGAGCAAGAGCAGTCCTGCAGAGACTCTATGGGACAGCACCTCAGAGGCAGGGTGGGGCAGGTGGTTCTGGGTTAATAGTAATGACAGCTGGGTGTGGTGGTGGACACCTGCCTCACAGCTGCTCGGGAGGCTGAGGCAGGAGGACGGCTGGAAACCCAGGAGGTAGGGAACGCAGCAAGCTGTGATCCTGCCCCTACATTCCAGCTTGAGTGACAAGAGAAGCCCTGTCTTAAGAAAAGACAGTGGCTCATGGTTTTCTAGTGTAGCCCCAACATTCTGTGTTTACTAACTAACCCCGTTCTCACTCACCCGAACTCCCAGCTACATGGGGAAGACTCTGAGCTTTGTAGTTGAGAGGAGGAAGCTGAGGCAGAGTAGCTCAGCATCTGCCCCCAGCACACAGCACAGGGTGGGGCCGTGGACCCAGCTGGAGCTCTCAGCTGTTACCTGCTAGCCCGTTCCTGGCTGGGAGCCAGGGATCCTGGTTGGGACCAACCTCAGACTTGCTGGCGTAGGTTCCCTGGGTCCTGACCTGGGTTGGGGGCGGGGGCTGGAGGCAGACTGGATCACTGAAAGAAGGTGGGACAGAGGAGCTCGTAGCCACCCTCTCGCTGGGCGGGGCCGTCATCTAGACCAAGGCACTCGTTCATTCACTCCACCGAGACTTCCGAATCGCCCACTGTTATGGTTATGTGGCACAGACAAAACAGATGATTCCTGCCCTTCTGAGGGGCAGTCAGTGCCAGGGGCAGTGCGGGACTGTGTTCCCATTTTAGGGAGAATGCTCTAGAGGTGGGAGGGAGCCGTGCGACCTGGGGGAGAAGGCCTGGAGCCAACGGAGTGCAGCCGAGGGTGGCCAGGGCTGAGGCCGGCAAGTGTATGTGCAGGCTGTGTGGACGTTCTCAGGACTTTACTCTGAGTGGGCTGGGAGAAGCTGCTGAAGGGTTCTGAGCTGAGCGGGACAGTGTCCACCTGCATTTTTACCATGAGGCCGGCGAGAGCACAGTCCAGTGGGAGGTAAGTCTGCAGGCACTGCCCCCGCCATCCTCCACGTATGCTGGGTGCCCTCTGCTTGTGCTGAGCTGGGGGCCCCAAGCAGGACCTCAGCCACACTGCAGGTTCCTTCCCCATCTTGCCTTGGAGAGGGGCATGGGAATGCCAACAGTCCTCTGTAGATCCGGGGGTCCTGAGGGCCACAGTCACCCCTGGGCAAAGGTCTAGCCCGGTAGAGCGCGCAGCAGGCCTGCCGCACTGACTCTAAGAAATATCTTTTCAGGCTGGGCACAGCGGCTCAACTGTAACCCCAGCACTTTTGGAGGCCGAGGCAGGCGGATCACTTGAGTTCAGGAGTTCAAGACCAGCCTGGGCCAACATTCAAAACCCCATCTCTACTAAAAATACAAAAATTAGGATACAATTTACAAAATTGTATTTTGTACTAAAATACAAAAAAGTGCCTGTAATCCCAGCACTTTGTGAGGCGGGTGGATCACGAGGTCAAGAGATCGAGACCATCCTGGCCAATATGGTGAAACCTCGGCTCTACTAAAAATACCAAAAATTAGCTTGGCATGGTGGCATGTGCCTCTAGTCCCAGCTACTGGAGGCAGGAGAATTGCTTGAACCCGGGAGGCGGAGGTTGCAGTGAGCTGAGATTG